TCTCTCGGTAAGTGTCAGAACAGCAGGAACATGATATTAATACAGCGCCTCCTGTCGATTAATTTCAGAACAGCAGGAACTTGATTTTAAAATGGCGCCCTCTTTCGGTCAGCGGCGGAACAAGAACAAAATGTTCAGAATGGATGTTTCACTCTGACAGACCGTCCTCCCACTCTGACACCTCTAAATAACAACTTCCTTCTGGACCTCTGCTTCCGTAGATTTAAACTCAGGCTGTTAATTTAATTCAGTGTGTTAATTTGGTCTAAAAACAGCTGGAAGCTACCCAGCTAGCCGAGCTTTAGCACCTTGAGCAGCCTCTGGAGGTCACCGGGCTGAGGAGGACCGGTCTTGCAGAAAGCTAGCTGTCGCTACATTAACCGTCTTCTGTCCCGGGGGGTCTGCAGCAGGGAGACAGGTGGTGTCAGGCGACAGGTGAGGATGAGGAGCCGCAGCAACTCCGGAGTGAGGCTGGACGGCTATGCCAGACTGATCCAGGAGACCATCTTATGTCACCAGGTGGGTCTAGACTCACAGAACCGGGTCCAGGACCGGACAGAGCCCTAGTGAAATCGTTAAACTTTATATTTTTATCCATTTGATCATAATGTTTATAACCTAACGGTTGAAATCAGCCATTTTAACTTGTTTTAATTGATTTAATTAAGGTGTTTTCAGGTAAAACGTTTTTATAATTGTATATAAACAAACAACTGATTAAATTGACATCATTGAAACATTTTGTGATGTTTTCCAGGAATAAGGGCATTTATTAAACAAAGTTCAATTCAGTTTCAATTTTACCTTTATTTAGGTTAGTCTAACAAAGTTAACAGTCATTGTTATAAAATTATTCACCTTTAATGAGTTCAGATTAACCATATTTGAAATGCTCTGAACTTTTTCAGTTTTTTTTATTTTTTATTTTATTTATTTAATTTTTTTTAAAGAAAGTTGGGGAAAAATATATTTTGTGGGGCGGGGAAAAGTATGAAAATACATGAATATATGGACTTATGAAGTATTTTTATTAGAATAAAAACTTTAAAAAGTTTTAGTTTTAAAGTAAAAAGTGACAAAATAAATAATGAAACATCTTAACGGTCTTTTTCATTCCAGAGTAAGATGTTAATCCCTGAGCTGATACTGCTGTATGTCCTCTGAGCTGTTAGCAGTTGGAGTATGACTCTCGGCTACTACCACAACACATTAGAGTTCAGTGTAAAAGTGACAGAGTTGGAGACATTTTTGTCTTCCGTCCACAGCTAATGGACAGAACCTGTCATGGCTGACAAGAAGCAGTAAAGAACAAGTATCAGACGTTCCTTCTCGTTGTATAAAAATAACTCCTGACACAAAGGTCCTGAAGGCCACATTTCACTAAAGATACAGAGTTTATTGATTAAAAAACAAACAAACAAACAAACAAAAACATTATTTTTTTTTTTACCTGCAAGCCTCATTTTATACATAAATAAAATGTTCAACCTTCTTCCTGACCAGACTGTCCAAATGAAAACAGGACTTTAAGCAGATTTTTAGTTTTCTGTTTTGGAATTTATTTTTACCAGCAGGAGCAAAATAAAAGTTTTGTTTTAACTGGAGGAGCCGGTGACTCTGTGTCTAACTGTCAGGGTGTTTAAGAACATTTGTGGACCCTTCACATTCTGAACCGGACCTGCACAGTTCTGAACGTTAGCTGAAGAACAGACAGATAAAAAGACGCTTCGCTTCCCGGGCCTCAGCTGATCTAGCAGCTGAACTTTGATCCCGCTTTGTTTATAATTCTGCAGCTGATGCTCCGAGCGAACCTTACCCTTCAAAGGCTTTAAAAACATCTGCAGGTCCAGAACATATGTAGGTCCAGAACATAATCGGGTCAAAAACATCTGTATGTGCATTTTATCATCAGGTCCAGAACATCCATCCATCCTCTGGTTCTGGACTCAGGTCTTGTGGCAGCAGCTGGATCAGGGAGGTCCAGCCAGCACTTCAGCTCTTCTGGAGGACTCCCAGACATTAGTCTGTCTAGCACAGGGCTATTCAACTGGTGGCCCAGGGCCCAAATCAGGCCCAATGGTGAGCTCAGTTCGGCCCACCAGTGGGTTCATTTTAAAATAAATCTAGATTTTAAACTGTTAGCTTATTTAATGACAGTCACTGCTGAATTTCAGACCCCTGAGCTCTTGTCTTTCAGTAACTGTGGCCCCCTGAGCAGTTTAGTTGAATAGCCCTAGCATGTCTTGGGTGATCTCCAGGGGTCTCCTCCCAGTTGGACATGTCCAGAACCCCTCGCTATGGAGGTATCCAGGGTCCATCCTTACCAGATGTCTGAACCACCTCAGCTCCATTCTTCCCTCACGCCTGAACAAAACCCTGAGATACTTGAACTCCTCCACTTGAGGCAGAACCTCATCCTCGACCTGAGGAGAACAGTCTACCCTTTTCTGGTTGAGGACCATGGCCTCAGATTTGGAGGTGTTGATTCTCATCCCAGCCGCTTCACACTCGGCTGCGAACCGCTCCAGTGAGAGCTGGAGATCACAGCACGATGACGCCAACAGGACCACATCATCTGCAAAGGGCAGAAACAGAATCCTGAGGCCACTGAACTGGACACCCTCCGCCCCCTGGCTGCACCGAGAAATTCTGTCCAGTTATGAACAGAATCGGTGACAATGGGGCAGCCCTGGGGGAGAGTCCAACTCCCACCCTGAAGAGATCCGACTTAGTATAGGGACTGAACAGTCTGTAGCAACGGGCCTCCAATCCCATACTCAAAGAGCCCCCCTCCACGATGTACCCTGAGGAACACGGTCGAAAGCCTTCTCCAAGTCCACAAAACACATGTAGACTGGATGGGCAAACTCTCTCGACTCCTTGATGACCCTAGAAGGGTAAAGGGCTGATCCAGTGTTCCACGGCCAGAACAGAACCCACATTGTTCCTCCTGGATCTGAGGTTCGACCAACAATCGGACTCACTTGTCCAGTACCCCTGAATAGACCTTACCAGGGAGGCTAAGGAGAGTGATGCACCTGTAATTAGAGCATACTCTCCGCTCTCCCTTTCTGAAGAGGGGAACCACCACCCCAGTCTGTCATTCCAGTGGCACTGCCCCCGATGTCCATGCGATGTTGCAAAGGTGTGTCAACCAAGACGGTCCTACAAAAAATCAGGGCGAATCTCATCCACCCCCAGAGCCCTGCCTCAATGTGCAAAAACTAAAACTGAAGGTAACATGCAGCTTTTAAAAGATACAAGACGTTTTCTAGCATTCAGGGTTAGACAGGATTTGTTTCTGAAAAAGAAACTTAGTTTAACTTTCAGTTTCTTTATCAAGTTTTCCACATGGAGCTTAAAAGAGAGATGTGAGTCGACCAAGATACCCAAATATTTATAGGAATCAACAAACTCAATGGGGACACCATTTGAGGATAAAATCGGAGGAAGAACTGCTGGGACCAACTTCCTATTTGAAAAAAGCATCCCTTTGGTTTTGTCGGCATTTAGGACAAGTTTGAGGCAAAACAAATCAGTCTGGATGATGTTGAATGCTGATTTCAAAAGCTGGAAAGCCTTAGCAACAGTTTTAGCTCGACAATAAACAACTGTGTCGTCAGCATAGAAATGTATGGATGCATTAGGGATGTTTTTACCTACATTATGTATGTAGATTGTAAAGAGGGTGGGTCCTAAGACTGAGCCTTGTGGTACACCATTGTTGACTGTTAAATAACTGGAGGAAGTACCATTATGTTGAACACATTGCCTCCGGTCTGAGAGATAGTTAGAGAACCAACCAATGGTGTGTTCTGAGAAACCGATTTCTGAGAGTTTATGACACAAGATGTTCTGATCCACAGTGTCAAAAGCTTTAGACAGGTCTAAGAAAAGTGCAGCACAATAATCTTTAGCATCCAGTGCTTCAACAACGTCATTAAGAACCTTCAGTGAAGCAGTGGTTGTGCTGTGTTGTTTCCTGAAACCAGATTGATGTGGAGGTAAGATGTTAAATGAGTCCAGGTAATTTTTGATTTGAGAGTTTATCAGTTTTTCTAGAACCTTGGCTAAAATGCAGAGTTTAGAGATTGGTCAATAGTTGTTCAGTGAGGTGGGGTCTCCTCCCTTCAGCAAAGGAAGAACAAAGGTTGTTTTCCAAGTGTCTGGGATGGAGTTTTGTCTTATGGAGAGATTGAAGATGTGGGTCACAGGGACTGTGATGATATGAGCAGCCAGCCTTAAGAAATAAGGTGGAAGTTCATCTGGACCTGCAGATTTTTTAGGGTCAAGATCTTTTAACAGTTTATTGACCTCACTGACTGAGAATGGAGAAAAAGAGAAGCTGTGATTAACTGAAGATTGACTTGTAGGAGGGATTTGATTTGTAGAAGTTTGATTATTAAGTGAAGTGGCTGATCTTCCATTAGTAACTGTGTCAAATAAAGAACTAGAAGCAACAAAATGTTTGTTGAAACAGTTCAGGATCTCGTGCTTATTTGACACAGGAACAGCGTTAACGAGAAGTTGTGATGGGAGGTCAGAAGATTGGGGGGTGCCTGAGAGATTTGATGGTTAGTAGTAAAAGGCTAGCTTACATTTTAAAATTGCAAAAGTCCTAAATAAATGTATGAAAAGGTTGTTCCATCTCCTGAATGAGCTGAACATTTCAATATGGAAAACGCTCAAATGAGACAAAGTCTGCAAGAGTTTGATTGTAAAACAATAAAAACAGGAAAACAGCCAAACGCTGAGTCAGCGTTCACATTAAATCAAATTTGATCACAGTTTGTTTCAAGAACCATAAAAACATAAACAGCTTTGATTGTTCACACTTTTACAAAAACAGGTCAATTGGGCAGACTTCTGTGAATATTTACCTGTTCAGTTTTATTTACTTGTAAATGTCTGGGTCTCTGTTGTAAACAGAACTTTTGTTTGTGTTTTCCTCTCAGAACCCGGTGACTGGACTTCTCCCCGCTAGCATCCAGAAAAAGGACGCCTGGGTCAGAGACAATGTGTACAGCATCCTGGCCGTGTGGGGGCTGGGCATGGCCTACAGGAAGAACGCAGACCGCGACGAAGACAAGGCCAAAGCTTACGAGTTGGAGCAGGTGGGTTTGGTTCGACCCGGACCGACCTGAGTCCATGGTTCTGCTTCATAAAAGAAAAATAACTGTACATGTCCAAAATTAAATAATCCAAAACAAGTTTGTTTTCAAACTGTCTAGAAAAACAAAATGAAAAATGAAGTTTATAGCTGTTATTCAGAATAATTAAAACTGAGTTGTTTGTGTGCGGGTTGGTGGTTGGTTGTTGATTGTTGGTTTGGTTGGTGGTAGGTTGATGTTTGGTGTTTGGTTGTTGGTGGATGGGTGCTCAAGTTTTCAACTTTGCTTCCAGAGCTTCCTCTTCTATTTTTATTGGTCTGAATCAGCTCTTCCTGAGTTTTTATTCAGACTTAAGCTCCTTTTTTCTTTCAACTTTTGTTTCCTTGTGATCAAAGCAGCCCATCGTTCAGTTTGTGTTTCGATTTATGAGAAGAGTGAACATGTGGAGGACCAAAGATGAATCATGTGGCTCAAAAAAAAAAAATCTATCTACAGATAGAGGAGCGGTGTCTGAAGGTCAGGTCTTTAAGAAACCTGAAAAATCCATCAAATACCTGAGATCTGTGTCTTCCTTCAGCTAACGGCTGTCTGGAAATCACCTTGTATGAACTAAAAACTCTTATCTTTAATATTTTCCATCAATTCAGCTAAAGAGTCATGACGGGAACAAACAGTCTCTGCTGGGACCAGAGCCAAAAGATCTAATTTAACATTTTCTTTTCTGCCTGAGAGATTCACAGATCAAACAGGTAAAAACATTCCTCTGAAAAACTGGACTGAACCTGAGAGAAAAAGCAGCCAAACTGAAGAAAGGTTGTCGGATCGCTTCAACTGATTACTGGAAACTCTGCAGGATTGAAAGGGAAATATAACAAGTCGAGCAATGACTCAAGACTTTTGCACACGGCTGTTTATTAAAAACGCTTCTCAGGAAGGACTTCCTGTTCACCTGAGCTCATAATGTAGGACTTTAAGGTTCAGCTTTAGTTCTGAGTTGAAAATAATAAAAAATTATAATTCTGATCAGCTGAATTTTAGCTGATTTCTGATGCAGATTTTGTTTTTGTTTTTGCAGAGTGTGGTGAAACTGATGCAGGGCCTTCTGCAGTGCATGATGAGACAGGTAAGACACCTGAGGTACGACACACCTGTTTCTCTTGTTTGCTGAAACATTCTGTGGAGAGAAACCAGGTCAAAGTTCTGTTTGGTGTCAACAGGTTTCTCTTCACAGAAGTGTTGGGTCACAGAGGATGTTGGCGAGACACAAACTAATGACTGCAGCTTGTTTTGTTTGTTTGTTTGTCCAATGCCGAATCAAAGCCGAAGATAAGAAACGGTCGGAGAGGAGTTCAGATGAAATGAAGCTTCAGCTGTTTCTCATCTGTTTACTCCTCAAGTCAAACAAGATTATTAGTGCTGAAGGTTTTAGACAAATATTTAGTCTGCTGGGATTCGAAACAGTAATCAATCAAATACATGATCAGCAGTCATTTATAAATTAAAACCTTCCACTCATTGATGCTTTTCAGTTCTTTTAAAAACATTATCTTTGAGATTTGTTTCAGCTGCTGGCACTACCCAGCTCTAGTCTAAGCTTTTAGCCAGTTATCTGCTACTTTTAGTTTCTGTTCTGTTACTTTTAATATCCAGCTAGTCTTTTGCTACTTTTAGCTAGCCTTTTGTAGGATTAAACTTTTAGCTTGTCTTTTGCTACTGTTCTGAACTACTACTTTTAGCTTTTAGCCAGCTTTTTTACTCTTTAATCTTGAGCTACAGTTTGGCTACTTTTACTGTCCAGCTAGACTTTTTAGCTAACCTTTTGGGGCACTGAGCATTCAAAGCAGTCTGTTCCTCAGATAAATAATGTTAACTTATTATTTTTATATGTGAATGTTTCTGTTCAGTGCCCTGAGATAACTTCTGTTGTGACTTGGTGCTATATGAATAAACTGAAATGAAATGAATTTAATTTAGCTACTTTGCTACTTTTAGTTAATCTGTTGTTACTGTTAGTTTCTGTTCTTTACTACTTTAAGCTTTTGGGCAGCCTTTTCCTTCTTTAACCTTTAGCTGCTGTTCTGCTACTGTCATCTTCTAGCTAGTCATTTGCTACTTTTAGCTAACCCTTTGCCACTTGTAGCTTAAAAAAATATTTTGGTACTTATAACTTCTATAATCTTTTTGTTACATTTAGGTTTTCGCTAACCTTAGCTACTTGTAGCCTTCAGCTAGTGTTCTGCTTCTTTTAGCTCTAACAGCTTAGTTTCAGTATATTTCGGCTGTCATTCAGCTCAGCGTTCATACAGAAAATACAATTTATTTTATTAAAATGGTGCTGCTGGATTCTGATCTCCTTAAAGTTTAAAAAAATAGCTAAAAACGAGCAAACATTTGTCAGAACATTTGTTAAAGGGGTTTTGTTGACCCTTGTGTTTAGATCTTGTTTCAGATTATTTTGTCATGTGTCCTCAGGTGGACAAGGTGGAGAAGTTCAAACACACCCAGAGTACGAAGGACTGCCTGCACGCCAAATATAACACAGCCACCTGTTCCACGGTGGTTCGAGACGACCAGTGGGGACACCTCCAGGTGGACGCCACCTCCATTTACCTGCTGATGCTCGCACAGATGACAGCTTCAGGTGCACCAATCACACAGGAGTTTTAACAGATTTACAAGGTCTTCTGGTTAATTTATTGATTAACTCTTATGTTGTCACACAGGCCTCCACATCATCTCAAACCTCGACGAGGTAGCTTTTATCCAGAACTTGGTTTTCTACATCGAGGCAGCCTACAAAGTGGCGGTGAGCAACCGTTTGTTTGGCTTTTATTCAGAGTCCACAAGTTTTTATCCCAGAACCATATATTAGCTTAATATTAGCTTGATGTTAGCTTAATGTTAGCATAATGTTAACATACAATTTAATGTTAGCTTGAAGTTAGCTTAACATAAGCCTAATGTTAACATTAGCCTAAAGTTAGCTTAATGATAGCATTATGTTAACGTAATGTTAGCTAAATTTTAGTGTAACATTAGTCTAATAGTAGCTTTATGTAATCCTAATGTTAGCCTAATGTTAGCCTAATGTATTAGTCCATACATCCATACATCAATACATACATCAATACATCAAATCAGACACCAGTTCAGATATGTGCTTGGGTGTGCTGTCAAACAGATATTATCAGCTGCAGTCAATCATGATCACAAAGAGGAAGTTAATTAGGTTTTGTTACATTCTAACCTTCAGCATCACCTATTAACAAATTTAGGTGACTGTATGGACATATTTGAACCAGTATGTATAATTTTGACTATGTGTGGACCAGAGACAGTCCACAAATTTCGGACCACTTTTTAATTTGTCTTTTTTTCTATTTGTGTATTCTTTCTTTTTTTTTTTTGATTATTCATATGTGGGTTTTTTTTCAATACAAATAGAAAATGCGACTGGATGCCTCAAAGTTCCACCCTGGGATTAATAAAATCCATCAATCCATCCATCCATGAATCCATCCATGAATCCATCCATCCATCAATCCATCCATCAATCAATCAATCAATCAATCAATCAATCAATCAATCAATCAATCAATCAATCAATC